TGAAACTGTCTTACAAGACTACGGCTTCAATTTCATTTCACCAGATGCGTCAAGAAATCATTAGTTGCATGTAGAACAACTCCTCGGCACTTCATTCAAAAAAGGCGAACTAGCAGACAATGCAATAGACAGAACCTGACCATTCATTGACCATGCACTTACTGGCTATGTTGCGTGGACTCTCCAAAATGTAGCCGCACCCGTGTCGGATCCTTCAAAAATGCACTACTTTTGGAGGATCCGACACGTATCCGGCCACATTTTCGGAGAGTCCGAGCAACATAGCTTGTTTGTAGTTGATGACTTGATGTAGTAGGTTGAATCGCATAATGAACACCGAGTTATAGGATTTACACTATTNGCAACTAAAGTTCAAGCTATGTGCAAATCAATAAAAGTAACCCTGGATCAACATGTTATACGGGAGGAAGTTGAGCTATGGCCGCTGTTTGACCGTCATTTTAGCATTGAAGAACAAGACAAACTAGTTGGTAGGATAATAGGAACAACTGGGGCAGAAGTACTTCAGTCAATGTTGCCCTGGGTAACTTCTGCTCTTACTCAGGAGGAACAAAATAAGATGATGGAGACATGGAAGCAAGCAACCAAAAACACAATGTTCAGTGAATGGCTCAATGAATGGTGGGAGGGAACGCCAGCTGAAACTTCCCAGACATCAAGCTCAGAGAACAGTGTACGAGGTTGTTGCCATGCTTCTATTACTTATTAGTTTTATTCATGTCCGTTCTCCGCTCTTAAGATGTTGCATAAGATATTTACATTAGACAAGGCTATTATTGGAACTGAATTAGCAGATCTAGAATGACTTTTTCTCAATAATCTTTTTAGCATCTAAAATTATGTCTTTTCAGGGTATGAGTTTCCTGAATCTCTAGAACATAGTGATTCCACTTTTAAACCTGGATGGAAGGACATATTTCGGATGAATCAAAATGAGCTAGAGTCAGAGATACGGAAGGTCTCCCGAGACTCTTCACTTGATCCAAGAAGAAAAGCATATCTTATTCAAAATCTTATGACCAGGTTTGTTTTCAGTGAAGCCATCATCTAAAACCTTTGTGATTGCTATCTTTGTTATTTATTCCATGTAACCTATTGAGCATCTGTTGTTCAGTCGCTGGATAGCTGCTCAGCAGGACTCTGAAGCAAGATCTGTTGAAACTCCAAATGGTCAAGATGAAATTGGATGTTCACCTTCATTCCGTGATCCAGATAAGAAAGTGTTCGGATGTGAACATTATAAAAGAAACTGCAAGCTCCGAGCTGCTTGCTGTGGCAAAATATTTCCATGCAGATTCTGTCATGACAAAGTCAGTGACCATTCTATGGATAGGTAAATCGTTGGCCTCGTATTTGTTTCTAATAAAACTCCATTCCATGTTTAATTTTTCTAGTAATTTGCAGGAAGGCGACAACTGAAATGATGTGTATGAACTGCCTGAAAATACAACCAGTTGGACCTTCTTGCACGACTCCATCCTGTAACGGCCTCTCAATGGCAAAATATTACTGCAGCAGCTGTAAATTTTTTGATGATGAAAGGTGATACTTCAGTGACCCTACTTGTTTGTAGTTGATGACTTGATGTAGTAGGTTGAATCGCATAATGAACACCGAGTTATAGGATTTACACTATTGGAAGATTAGACCAGGCTCTGCTTATTTTTCTTGGTTGTTAAACATCATTAATAAGATATTCTGCTTATCATTACAATTAAAAAGAATGATAGTCTCCTTACAATATTTCCTTTTCTGCAATATATTACTTGCTTCATTTAGGTTTAAAAGAGTGAAAGTTCTCCCTACACTCAATGTTTTAAGAGGCATGCTTAAGCCTGGAAGCTATTTGCAGCACAAGTTGGAGTATCGCCTCGTCTAAGTGGTGTTTCAGTGCAAGCACCAAGGAGCTAAGGCAAATGTGCCTCAGCGTCCACGTGCTTTGTCTTGAAGCGAGCGGCACTAGACAATAAACATAAACGGCAAGTGTTAAGCAATTGTTATGGATGAATATGTTAGCGATCCGGATTAGGAAATTAGAAACTTAGTATAAAGAAAATTAGTCAGTGGATTTGAATCAGAAACTTAAACAACATCGTTACATTTGAATCAGAAATTGTTTTTACTTCAAATACTTATTCAACTGTTTCTCCAATTTTTGTTCATATAATTATCATTTGTGATTATAATTACTTTTTTGCGCATCACAAACATATATCTTAGATGGGCTATGCACTTAAAGTCCCAAAAGATCTTTAGTGCTTTTCTTTGCTTTTCACCTTTGATAACACCGGCAACATTTGAAAATCATTAGATTTTGATGCCTGAATGTAGAGATTCTAGAACTAGATTCTAAATGCTACAACAGGTGTTCTCCAGTCTTCCGTTCAAAATAATGGCCCTTCTATTTATTTTTGAAGTTTTTCTTGAAGCCAGTAATGCATAACTAATTGCTTACACAAATTCTTGCTAAGTCAATTTCCTAAAACATCACACCCTGCCCCTGCATTTGTAAAGGTTTGTTTTGTCAATTTTGAACAAACTCACATGAAAATCATTTCAATACCTGATTCAATATTTCCTAAAGTTCAAGGATGGAGTCTTTTACGTGTTGCAAGATGATAAATACATATCTCTAATAGAGCTTTGATCTTGATTTTCTCTAATTTCTATTATTTCCTACTTCAGGACAGTGTATCATTGCCCGTTCTGCAATTTATGCCGGCTGGGGCAAGGACTAGGTGTTGACTTCTTTCATTGCATGACCTGCAATTGTTGCCTGGGAATGAAACTTGTGGACCACAAATGCAGGGAGAAGGGTCTCGAAACCAACTGTCCAATATGTTGCGACTTTTTATTCACGTCAAGCGAAACTGTCAGGGCTCTGCCCTGCGGGCATTTTATGCATTCAGCATGCTTTCAGGTCTGTTCGTCACTTTTCTGCTGGGTTTTGCTCATACATTTGCTGTCAGAAAGGATATTGTGTTGTTCATTAGAAATCAAGTTTGAACTAAAAGCAATCTCTTTATTTCCTCAGGCATATGCTTGCACACACTACATCTGTCCCATTTGCAGCAAGTCTATGGGAGATATGTCGGTAAGCGATGTTCATCCTTCATTAGATGAATGTTTTTGCAGAATAGTGATGGTTGTTTGTGTAAATTCATAGCATCATATGTAGACACAAGAATATTGTGTATAATTCGTTAAAGTTTTGAAACAGACTATAAAAATATAACATACTGTTTAATTTTCTTTTTCTGGTGTAAAGAATGAACTTCCAGGTTGCATTAACAGTTGCTTTAATTTTTCAGAGGGCTAGAGTATAGTTATATTATCTCTATGTATAGTCAACACTAACTTGGTGTGTTTGTGATCAAACTTATTTGATTTAAATATTTCCTTTCTAGAAAAAGAAACTGCATCAAGCCTATAAAATGGGACAGATGAAGGTGCATGTGTTTGTCAAGCTAACTTTTTCTTACATAAACAGGAGTGCTTGGTTTTTTGTTTGTGAATTCTTCTATTAATCCGCCATATTGTACTCAGTTATAAACCTTGCCTGATCCGCGATGAGTCTTATCTATTTGTTAGAAAAAGAGAAGTATATATATTTTTTTGAAAAATCAATCCTGTAACTGAAGCATGTAACATCATACTCTTATTATGCTACTCTCTTTACCTTGTTTATGAACGTACTCGTGGATGTACTTTTATTTTGACCTGGTGTCTTATTTAATGAAATCGTCTTATTTAATGAAATCTTAGTCATATTAAGAAAGAAAAAGAACGTTGTCTTTGACCATATTCTATAAAGAAGTCACATTGTCTACTCATTTCTTGTGGATTTTAATAGCATGTAGCCCTATATATTTCTTACTTCGAAACCTTTCAATCTTTATGTATCCTTTTTTTTGGTTCCGTTCTATTATATTTTGTGCTCAGATGAAGAATGATCTCAACTTCTGTCTTCTCTTGTAGGTGTATTTTGGGATGCTTGATGCTTTAATGGCTTCTGAGGTGCTACCGGAAGAGTTTAGGAACCGATGCCAAGTAAGGAATCTCAGTTTTATTTCCTTAACAACTTTTATGCGTATTAAATTATTGAAACTTTTACTCAAGATTTTTATATGAAATTTCTCTAGGATATATTGTGTAACGACTGTGGTAAGAGGGGAACTGCACCATTTCATTGGCTATATCACAAGTGTTCATCTTGCGGATCCTACAATACCAGAGTTATAAAGGTGGAAACAAGTCCTAATTGCTCCAGCTAATGTTGAAGACCTGTTGGATTCCCCTCAGAGAATTACGTACTTCTATAAATCAATACATAGGTTTGTAAAATATGAGCACTCACTGTCACCAAAATTTTGTCATTGTTGTACACGATATGCTGTTTCTGCATATTCACGTTACAAGCATGGAGTGTGTTACTGGCCTTTTCCATTCTGTAATGCATAATGCATTCCTACTGCATACTACAGAGCCAGGGACTGTGATATAAAACGAAGAAAAACAGATAGAAGCCACATTTGAGGCTTTTGGCTTGTAAGTACCTATTCTTTTTCTTTTTCCCCTCTTTAAAGAGGCAGCAAGATTCTTTATGGAATGATTTGGCACAGGACAAGGAGGGCCAATTCAGAACCGAATGTTATCATTTGCTTTCGCTGTTGTATCATTCTCTAAGTCCAGTTATTATGATCATGAGTTCTGTGGACAGAACTTGAATATTATAGTACTCTCTGGATCCTGTAGAAATAGAACAAACTCATTCCACAAGTAAAAGGGTTTCTTATTTTATGCATTTTGTTATTCATATAACTCTGGACCAAATCAGTACACAGGTAGATTTGCCTAAATCTGGGAAAAATTCAAGTGGTATTCTATGAATAAGAACATTACTTTCATAAAATATGATACGGTTTAGTTAGGTTTGCTTGACATCTAATGGGTGTGGTGTGATAGTTTGGAAATCAAGAAAAAGAGATGCAAAAAAAGGGGAAGAGATATAGGGAATTCGAAATGACCATGTCTAATAAACAGTGTTCCATTAATCTTTGGAAAAAAAATACTATCACAATTTTTGCGTACAATTTAATTTTCACTCTTAGACGTAAGTAGAAGAGTCGTAACTTCCTTATTAAGGCAGCAATATTTTCAATAATATACAATTAACTAATCAGCTATTAAGTTCTGAAGTTCAACATCAGAAACTGACCCGAAAATCTCATCTTTTGCTAGTAATAAAGAAAAGGAATCTGGAAAAAAAAAAGAAGGAAAGGAATAAATATTTCTGTGTTTTTTTCTTAAAAATAAAGCTGTACCAAAAATCAGGTTGTTTACCCGTAAAACGGTACAGTTAAATTTATACGCGGTTTATAGACAAAACGAATTAATATGATCCTAAAATAATAGAGGAATTCGATAAAAATGCAATACTTAGCTTTGAGATGGAGATGAAATAGCTGAAATAGTAATTCCGGGAGCGTAGGGCTTACGAGCACAACAACAACAATATCAAAGAGCAAGAAGATAAAATTATATTAAGCTTTGAATAGAGTATAGCGTATGTTTGCTAGAAAATTCGTGTCCCTTACAATGATAATAGAACTCACTATTTTTAGCTGCACCTAGGGGACAAGGTCTTAGGATCAGACCCTTCTTTAATGCCAATTATGAGGGCCATTGAAGAATGTGTAGCGACGGGCATGAATGCCATATTCTTTTGTAACGGGTAGTGTACTTAATGCTGTAGAATATTCTTCATTAAATGCTACCGGGTGACAGACATTTATTTCATCTTTATGAGTATCATTCTCTCCGGTGACAAACGAGATCGTTGCCTTCGGTTTCAGCTATCCTCTATCTTCGACTCCACGTGTCACTTTCTCATGCGATCATTTAATATAACATATTTTACCCCATACAGATAGTCCCCATGCTTTCCGGTGGCATAACCTTGTGTCACCGGGAAGTTGGTAGAAATATTTTTTTTGACGGAAAATTTACTAAGCCCCTCTGAAAAGTTTCTGACATTTGATTAGACGCACGTCTCTCTGCATTTAATGCCCCGAACACGCGTCATCCCACGATTTAGCATACCTTTTGCCGATTATTGAGGTAATTATGGCCACGGGTTTAGCCGCCTATACTTTTACTCATACGCATCAACTTCCTTCATTTAACTTCATAATACTCTAAATTTTCTAAGACTTTCTTTACTCAACTCATCCTTCGACTTTAACCTTTCTTTAGCTTCCTTCTTTGAGAGAAAAAAACCACTATCTCATAAACATTGGCCTATTTTTCAAGAAAACCTAGTTCTTCAAAGAACAAAGGCAAAGTTGATGATGATGCTCCCCCTACGGTGAGTACCATCGTCCCAAAGAACCTGATTACTACCAAAGATTTCGAAGAGAAGTACCCTTCTGCTCACCCTCGTACGTGGGCTGTCATCGTATACCCTTCTTCTATCCGTCCTTCCAGTATCTCTACTGTGAAGGACGACTTCCATTGTCAGGATTTGGATATTATCGCTCCCGACCTGGCGGAGTAGATAACTTTACCCAAGAAGGGTTTTACATATTTTTACACGTATCCCTTCACTTTGGGAGCATTTTCTTTAAGCGGGGAGCTTGACTCCGTCATTGTGGAGTTTTGCCTCCGCTATCAGATGTGCTTGGCATAGGTAAGCCCTTCCGTGAGGAGGACAATCGCCTGCCTTCGGCGCCTGTGCCAGGAGACGGGAGAAGAGTTATCCTTAGCTCGAGTGATGAACCTCTATTCCCCCAAAATCTTCCGTGGGGAAATGATTAATTTCAGCAAGCGTGGCCACCATGCACTGCTATCCATCACGGATGATGATAATGACCGTGGGTGGATGGAACAGTTCATTTTAGTCGCCACCAGTGATATCATCCCGGCTTCGGCTCCGTCTCCGTCTTTCCTAGAATTATGGAACCGCATCGTAAGTCTATCATTTGTTTCTTCTTCTGTTAAAGATCATTCCTCGTCATTATTGACTCTTCTTCCTTTACATGTCTCAGTGACTCGGTGGGTTCCCCCTAGGGTTGAGGGTTTAGACCAATGGGTCCAGAATATTTTGGACGTTACTATGCCCGAAACCCGCATATGGAAAGAGCTATCCTTGAAATACGGGTAAAATGCCAAAAATCATGGTAAGTCGAACTCATCTTGTTTTTACCTTCTCATAAGGAAATTGTTTGACTTTTCTCTCCTGTTAAATACCGGTCTACCCTAGGGCTCAGTTGTCATTCTCGAGGAGGATGTTTTGGCTAATCCTGCTGATGCGACGAGGCTACTGTATGAGGCTATTACACAGACAGGCATCTTCGAGCCTGCTTCTGGTGCGAGTGCTTATTCTCGGAGTCCCCGGCTAGAGAGAAAGCAACCAAAAAGAAGGCGTTCCTCTGCAGCCGGGGGAAAGAATAAGAGGGTGAAGAATGCCGCCCCCGAGTCGTCTCCGAAAGTTGTGGGGACGAGCCCCCGACGGCTCGGCCATAGATACCATGGTGATTGACCATGATGGAGAAGCCAGCGAGGAGATGGCTTCTCTACACAGAAGACGACGACCTTCCTCAGCTCAACAGACTGCTCAATCTGTTGAATTAGTTACACCAACCGAGGATGATGTCTCAGCGCTCTGGGGAGAGTTTGAGATGGTGGAAAATGCCAACTCCCGTTTTTGGATCCCAGTCGTTGCGCCCTGTCACGCCCCAAACTCGGGGAGCGCGACCGGCGCTCAACCGAGTGAACCCGGCCGAGCAAGCCTGTTAGATTTTCCTCTACCCAAATTCACCCATGAATAAAGAGGAAATGTATTCCATTAATCAAACACTGAAAAGATTTCATTAACGACCCCCATTTCATTTCCATTAGCAGCTTCATTCATAATTTCCAAAATATTACAAGTTTATAGATATAATGAAAAATAAGTTTGCCAAAATACCAACTCATCTAGTTCGATTCCCAACATCAAACACCACCACAACCTGTTTACGGAGTCTCTACATACAACCGAAGAGTAGTATGGAAGTGCCGGCAACAAGACCCCGGCTATACCTCAAAACACAATGTACAACTCAAATGACATCAAACACGGAATAGAGTAGGGCTCACCAAAACCTGCTGATTAGAGAGTGACTGCTAACGAGGACCAAAGCTGCCTGCTGATGAACCACATGCATCCATTGAAGATGCAGCACCCCTGGCAAAAGGGACGTTAGTACATATGGAATAGTACTAGTATGTAAATCTAACTGTCCTCTTTCAAAATAGAATACCAATGTAAGATAGGGAAAACTATAGAAACAACAATCAACAATCATGGATATCCAAATTCCAAGTTAAAACATAGTAATTTTCAAGATATGAAGATAATATTATTTTTGGTTGGGAGATCTTTAGCACCGATATACCATTGTTTACAATACCAATACCACTGTACTTTTAGCACGGAGTCCGATCACGACCCGATCGGCTAGGCCATCTCACCACAATGCCGTGTGGATCGACATCATCCTTTTCTATCAATCATTTTATCCCAAATAAGGGGAATAATTTTATCACATCAATCTCATCCCAAATAAAGAGAATAATCACAATACACTCCTACACCGGCACATGTAGTTTCGGAGTTAGGTTATTTCAACCTACCCTTCCTCGGTGGCTATCGATACTCCCAATTTTTTTTTTGATTTGCATACAAAGGAAACAGAAGTACAAATTGCATTTTACCTCATAACCTTTCATACCGTATATAGCTTCATTGGTACTTTCAGCTACTTACAACATCATCATTTCATTAGCTTTCTTGGCCATACATATGATTCACCATTCATGGCTTTCATATTCCACACTTTCATTTCTTTCCTTTCATGAATCGTCATCATAAATATCAACATATATAATATTCCGAAAATCACAATGTTAAGTTCATTAGAAATGAAGAATTTAAGCACAATAGATTTCTTTCCAAGAAATAGAGTAAAATGATTGGCAATCGATACGCAAGTTAAAATCATAAATAAGTAACACACCATTTATTCTTGAAATACTTTTCCTCAAAAAGGGCAATACACAATTTCCACTCACGAGTATGTGAGAACACAAAATACATTGAAAATACTCATAAAGCATAGCATTAGTTAAAACAGCCACATTGGGGCATGACTTGAGGACATAAGCTTTTAGGCAAATCTACTTTAGAAGTAATTTTGGAACAGTTGAATCAAGGCTCATTTCATAATCTTTCTCACATCATCTCATTTCATTGGCACCTCTAGCCACAAGTATAACTTTTATTCTTGGCACGGTGGCCACACTTTATATCTTCAACTCACTTCTTTCACTTTCGAGCATCTTTATAAATTACCAACAACAAGGCATTTCCAATCAAGACTTTAGGTACACATATGAGCAATTAAGAATCTTAAGCATATCGAGTTTTTCTCACACAATTTGGCATACTAGCTTTTATTTGGAACACGACTCAAATCTATAACATTTTAATACACAACTCGTAGTTTTAACATATATCTTTCGACATAAGGCTCATTCGGAATAGTCAAGTTTATAAGGAATAACTCGGAACATAGGAATTGGGAACTTGAGCCAACCATGCTTGAAACTTACGCGAACATCATGGAATTTAATTCTAAGAGAGTAGTTTAGCCAACATACCTCGCTTTGAGCTTTCCTTAAATTACTACAATGTTC